TTGGCGGGAAATTCGAAAATTCAAATTTTCGATCTCAAAATTATAGGCCTTCCTAATCCCTTATCACTTCAAGGCTGGGATTTTGAATCAGTCTATTTCTGTTTCTTTACATAATACCCTACAACTCCATACCCATAGAAGTTCCTTTCTTGTCAGAAAAAAATATTCTAAATTTGGGCCAAGTTTCCTCAAAATCTGAGCGTCGTATAAGCATATGTTTTTGTACTGGCTACTTCCTGACTCAACTTGGCTCTCCCTGCAAAGCGCAAGCTAAAATTTTCAGGGATTGATTTGTGGCCAATGCAGGACATGTGTGCAAAATTTGAATCATCAAGATTAATTAGGAAAAGGCGAAAAACCGGCGCGTTTTATATCTATAGAACAACAAACAACCGAGAGGCCAGATTTCACAGCGCCAGACAGCAGATGTGAGCGTTGGAGTAAAAGGGCACACGATTACAGCCCGCTTTAAAATTACTCCTTCTAGGTAAAATGCACGGATTCGAAGGCTCCTTTTTCGGTCGTGCACTAGACATTCCGGCTTTTTTCTTGCTTCACCAGGAGAAGGGGTAATTTTGTAATCGTATACACCCTAATTTTGGGCTGGATCGGAAAAGTGCCTTTGAAAAATTGAAAAAAACAAATGTTTTTAGCGTAGGTTCGTATTTTAAAATGTCGTCAAAACAACAGGATAAGCGAAGTTTTGAATTGTTTGAGTTACCTGGGCTACACAACAATGCCTAAAAATCCTTGCTTTTTATCCCAGACTACATGAAAAGGGTCTCATTTGCTATGCTCAAATCCTCGTTAAGTCTTGGTCAGACAAGGACTACAATTAGTTCCAAAATTTTTTTGCTCGCGCTTTGCAGACGCTGCCGGTATATTTAACGGTGTTTGCAGCAGAGAGCGTACACGGAATGTACAGGGTGGGCCACTCGAAACTGACAAGTTGTTTCTTAGAATTTCTCCGCGGAGACTCCGCCGATTTTTCTAAAATTTAGATTTTTCTGTAGCTGAGACTCAGTCATTTTCAACCGACTGAATTTCAAAAAAAATCTAGCTTAAATTGACCGTTCCCTGCCTTCCCAAAGTTTTGCAAAATTATTTTCAAGCCGAAACCGCTAAAACTTTGAAAATTTTTGGAATGATTTTGAAAACTTGGTCATTTTTCCGATTTCTTAGGTGAAATTTTCTGTGTTTTACCTCAGATAGTTATCAAGCATTGTTGCAAAAACAATTTTATTTGACAATCTGATTATTAATATTTCTATCTGAGCTATTATGCCCACCTCCTCTCGCAGCACAAACTTGCCATGGCCTTTGAGAGTCATCAGACTCTCAAAGGCCATGGGAGTCAGCCAAGTATTGCGCATTACCGTAGGCCCATTATAAATAAAAAAAAATTTTGGCTAAATTCATGACTTTAGTTTCATTAAAATCTGTTCGACTTTCTGAAAAATCTCGGTTGTTTCTGCAACAGGCAAAATGAAAATCTTAAGTATATATTTCACAGAAGAAAGATGAAACAAAAATTGCCCTAAATTTCATCAAAATCTTACCCCCCAACATCAGACCACCTCCCCGCTGAGGTAGCTATAAAAAACTCTGAACTTTGACCGATTCCCACGCCCAACTTCCACAAAAAATATAATATTCATCACAACGCATACGATAAAACAGACAAATCCCTCGAAATTGACATGAATCTCATGTCAATCCTCTTCATGAACAACCTCAAAATGTTTTATGTAAACGTCTGCGCCATCAATCCGTCTATTCATATTGTTTTTTACAGCGGACCAGATTTCCAAACCCAATTTGGTTTTATGAATTCGCCGCTAATAGAGAGCAGAAACATTCTCCATGGTCACCCGGGGGGATGGGAAATTGGCCCAGGGAATTATTCGCCTTTTATGCGGCATCGCCACTTTAATATGGACGAGGTGCGCAGAAGTTGCAGAGAAGAGTTGAACTCGAACACCCACTGACTTTATGAGTCATTTTGGAATAGTTGAGCGGACGATAATTTTACGGACTGCACTTGGATTCAGGGTCCCTATTCTAGGTTCTGTCTAACAAGGGAAGTACCCCAAGTGCGACGCTCAGATTTTGATGAAACTTGGCACAAATTTAGAATAATTTTTTCTAAGATATATGCGAGAATTCTAGCTCGCGCTTTGCAGAAAAACCCGAGATTTTTAGATCGAAAGTCGGCCAAAATTTAGGACTTTTTGCCGAATTTCGGCACGAAAAGTTTCATGCCCATTTCTACCGTAAAAAATAATTTTTCTACAAAAAATCAAATTTTTCCGCACGAAACTGCCAAAGTTATGGCCAAAAGGCGCTTTTCTCTCTGACCGCTCTCCGCGTTTAGCGTGCTCTCTCGGCGGCAAAAATCGTTCGATATCTCGGCAGCGCCGGCAAAGCGCGAACTAAAACTTTCAGGAATTGATATTCAGTTCATACCGACGTGTGTGCAAAATTACGCGGAGAGCGGTCAAAGAGAAAAAACAGTTTTTGGCCATGACTTTGACAGTTTCTTGCGGAAAAGATTGATTTTTTGTGGAAACATTACCCTCTGTGGTAGAAATCGGACCCTCACTTTTTCCTGGAGTCCGTCCGAACTCAACTGATGACTCAAAAGCGTTGCCGCCCGCTTTGCTCCCGGCATCTTTCTTTATGAATGGCGGGGCTTTGATTTTGATTAGTGAGAGGTCTTAACGCTAACTGGCAGGAGAGAAAAAAGAAGACCGCAAACGAAAAAAACGATAAAATACGCTGACTACATAATCCCATTCAAAGCCGGGAAAAGTAAAGCGTCGGGGAGTTAACAGATGATGTAGTGCTAACAGTAATGCTAATATGACATCTTGTCAGTTTGAGAGGACACATCAGCCGGGCTAATCAGAAATCTAAAAAAATTTTGAATTATGGAGCAACAGTACAAGGCCAAAAGTCCAATAAACGATTGATAGATTGTCCAAAGTTGAAGCTATATGCATGGCGACCATGTGGAATGTCACCAACTTTTTTCCCGTCGTGATTAGCACAGTTGACGAAAGAATTTTTTGGGAGACTATTTTACAGGCTGACACAAAAAATGAAGGCTATTTTTAGGGTCCTGCAGCAAAAACCTTTAGGGCAGCCAACTTGTTTTTTTACCATAAAATTATGCGTGTTTTTCTGAGCTAGTTCATTGATTTTCATGTCCATATCGATTATTTAATATGGGTTTTTTGAATGTGAAAACCAAAGGCCTTGATTTTCAAACCGTTTCGGTAAGAAAAAGAGCCATATAAGATTGGTAAATTTGTCGGTGCAGCAAAATCTGTCGTGCCGCGTAAGGGCAAATTCAAGACTAAAATGAACTTCCCTGCAACCAAACCTTTCTATACCAACCACGTTTTTCGACCCTTTGAGATTCGTTTTAACTAACAGGGGAAGTACCCCGAGTGCGACGCTCAGATTTCGATAAAATTTGGCAAAAATTTAGAATAGTTTTTTCTAAGATATATGCAAGATTCTTAGCTCGCGCTTTGCAGAAACAACCGAGATTTTTAGATCGAAAGTCGGCCAAAATTTCGGACTGTTTGCCTAATTTCGGCACGAAAATTTTCATGCCTACTTCTACTGTAAAGAGTAATGTTTCTACGAAAACTCGAATTTTTCCGCACGAGATTGCCAAAGTTATGGCCAAAAAGCGCTTTTCTCTCTGACCGCTCTCCACGTTTAGCGTGCTCTCTCGGCGGCAAAAATCGTTCGATATCTCGGCAGCGCCCGCAAAGCGCGAGGTAAAACTTTCAGGAATTGATATTTAGTCCATACCCGACGTGTGTGCAAAATTTAAAGAAAATCTGAGCGTCGCACTTGGAGTACTTTCCCTGTAAAAACGTTTTTCGATCGTTGACATTCGTTTTGCCGAAGTTGTGTGGCAGAGTCGAGATATTCTACGTTTTTGTTTTCCCACAGTCATAAAATCATTCTATGTAGTGATGTTCGGACTATCAGTCTGTCGGGAAAATAATGAGCACAATGTCGCTCTGCCGATCGCGTCGCTAAAACGAAAAGAAATTTGATTTTTCCGCAACACGATTTATTTCCTCGGCGGCGATGCCATTTTCGATGCCGCAGGATGCCCATTATTTTCCCGACAGACTGAAATATACAATTTAGTCCCAAATTTACCCCCAAACAAGTTTTATCGCCCCGCCATCGACGTATCCACACAATAAATCCCGCAAAAACAAGTCGTCCAATCCCCCCCCCCATAAAAGGCCCAATAAACCCGCAAATATCCCATTGACGCCAAAATAAATTGTTTATTCCGCGGATGTTCGGCGGCCTCTTCCTTGTGGCGTTCCGAATTTTTTCTACTTTTTTTCTGCGGAGTCCATTGAAAATTGAATTTTCATCGTTAAATTTTTGGAAGGAAGAACGTTTGAGCGTTCGAAAAACGGACGTGAAAGACATGTGAAAGCGTGGAAAAAACGTTTCAAAAATTTGAAAAAAAGTTTTTGAGTGTCTGACACATTGTGAGTTAATTTTTTTTTTATAATTTTAAAAAAAGAAAATTAAAAAAAAAGAAATTTTTTAATATTTCTTTGAGCAGAAAAAGTAAAAAAAAATTGAAAAAAAATTTTTTTATTGATGAAAAATTTTAAAAAAATCTTTCAAAAATATTTTTTTCGACCAGTCATTGGCAGAAAAACAAAGCATACAAAATTGAAAAAAAATTTTTTTTTTTTTGAGACAGAATCTAAATTTACCGAAAAAATCTCATTTTTCAAAACATTCAGTTTAAATTTTGTATCCAAAATCGGCAAAACTGAGCTGCTTCAACATTTTTTTCAAAATTTTCAAATTTTTTTTTACCACATATTCCATGTAAAATTTACTTCATCTAACATTTTACTATGACACAAAAAAAATAAAACTCAAAAAAAAAAATAAAAAAAAAAAATAAAAAATAAAAGCATGAACCGGGTTTCCAGACGAGAATTTTACTTCTCCTTGGCGTACTCGACGAACACTTCGATGAGGATGAGGAAGCAGCAGAGGATGATGGGACCAATCACCGCGCCTTCCAGCCCGATCCAGCTGATTCCACCGATGACGGCGAGACCCGTCACGTATGGATGGGACGATCTGCAGAAATTGGGTTAACTTTTTTCACAAGGGAAGTACTTTTATGGGGTATGGAGTTACAGATCGGGACATATATCAAAAAATTCGCGAAATTTTTCTCATTCAAAATATGTAAAAATTAGCTGCCTAATTTTCGTTTGTAAGGGCGAAAAACCCCTCAGAACTTTTATCGCAACACCACGCAAATGCCTTTTTGACCAAGTTTTTATCAATTCGGAGGCTTTGTTTGTAGCTAAAGTGAACCCTGGCATCTTGACAAGCCTTAAAATATCAAATCTTATTATTACTACTTTTGCATCCAATAAGGTCCTATCAAGCCCCACAACACCTAATTCTGCCTTATTACAGCCTTCCGGACACTATAACACGCCTGAAACACAATGCCAATATTGGCGGAAATTTGAAAATTCAAACGCGATCTCAAACTTATATGCCTTCCTAATCCTCTATCACTTCAAGAACACCAAAATCCACCTACTTCACTTCTCTGTAAAACGCCGTATCAGCGAACATCAGCGGCGCAATGCTGGCGGCAGCGAAGAAGAAGCTGGCAGCCCCTTCTCCTCTCACCAAATACAATTCAATCAGTCCGAAGAGGGCGGCAGAGTACGGTGGGACAATTGGGACGGCGGCAAAGACCGCAGCAATCACTAAAACCACAATTTATTTTCCAATTTTTTGGATATTAAACTTGCGCGAAGGTACGAAGACGATATTCAGGCCGAAAAGTACGTGGACAAAGTAGGTGTAGAGGCCGTAGAAGATCGACATCTTCGCTGAGAGGACGAACACGCCGCTAAAATTAGAAAAAACTTACAAAACTTGAATCGCCGGCCTTACACTTGACATTTTTTGGTATTTTCCCCAAAAAAAGGTAAAAAAATCCTAATATTTTACTCAATTTTCCTCCTAGACTCCCATAACCGCTAAATATGACATATTTTACCTGATCGCGCTTTCAATTGCCTTGGCAATATTCAATTTCCCATCGTGACCTTGTAATTTCGGAGTGGCTTGGGAAATCCAATGCAATGGGAGCCATTGGTCGGTGCTGGAGGCCAACAAGTAGTACACAGCGGTGAGGAAGACAATGATTTCGATGAAAAAGTTCAGCAACTCGAAGCCAAAGTTGAGGATTAGGCCGAAAATCGAGAAAAATACGCTTGACAGGAGGGATACGTTGAGCAAAACGACTGTCCAGAGGGATTGCGCGATCTAAAAATATGAACCCCCTTACTTTTACAGTTCCTTGGAAATTTTTCTGTATTTAAGACATTAATTCAATCCTATACTCAGGCTAATTTATCTACTTTTTCACAATTATATTATTCATGACATTGATATCTAAAATAAGGTCGAAACCCGAACCACCTTTAAATTTTCAAACTCCACGCTGTTACAGCCAAAAAATATAAGTTTCACTACGTCAAACAATCCAAAAATCTCAAAGTCAATACTAAAACACACCACTTTTTATCCATCTCAACCTGACCTCATGTATAATAAAAAAAGCCCTCAAAAAACCAAACCTACGCTCAAAACCGTCTCAATATTGGCTTTGATGATAATCGTGAGTTCATGCTTCAGGGACTCCAGATTCGAAGCCGACATGAGTTGAGAAACAATGTCTGGACGATCAGTTAGTGCATCCGTCGCATTTTGAATCTGCCGTTCCTCCCACATTCGATACAAATTGTCGACAATCAGCTTAGCCTGTTCTTCAAGCTCGTCCGCTCTTTTGGTGTCCTTGGGGTCAGCGAGTTTCCGGATATTCGAGGCTAACCATAAGCGGCCTTGGAGGAATCCCTAAAATCATATAAAAATTCATAGGAAATGTGAAATTTTTGATCAAAATCAAAGCAAAATACAACAAAAGGTATCGACACCCTCTCTAAAACCCTCCACGCCCCATATTAACCATCAAAATACAGTAATCTACATTGGATACATTTCATCGTATAACATGTCCCCTTTCAATTTTCGTCTGAAATCCGTCGAAACCAGATCTGATTACTCTATTTTCATATATTCTCACCATTTTAAACAGAGTAAACACCAAATTTCAATCGTTTTTTGACGAATTTTATCGTATAAAATGTCCCTCGCAGTCTACAGCCCGTAAAACTTACTTCCTCGATGTAGTCATCGATATTATTGTCCGCAATTTGTTTGTCCGTATAATTCAGCGCAGTTCGAAGCCACTCAGGGTTTGAGGACACCACATTCGTGGCCAATTTGGCCAGATGAACGGTTTCGGCGTGCACTTGGAAAATGGTAAAAATAGCAAAGAAGAAAAGAGAAAAAGCCAGGATAATCATCACCACAATCGAGCTGATCAGCTCGACTTTCGATTTGAGACTGCTGATAATCTAAAATCCATAAAAAAAATTTTAAAAATATATTATCCATGACAAAAAAAAATCGGGAAAAAAATAAAAAAGTCTATTCGCTTACATATTTATCGCTAGTAAAGAGGATATGGATGAATTTGCGCAGTGAGCCAGCCACAACAATGTTAATCAACTTATTGATGTTATCCTTGAACCGTCCGCAGATCCCGGCAACAGTTTGTTGGACTGATTCTGTCGCTCCGGTACGTTCAGCTGGAAAAATAGGTGATATAAAACTAAATCAGACTATTTCACTAGCTCTCCATGTCCACACAACAACAATTTATATTACACTAGGCATAAGACTTCAAAAAACTTTTTTAAATCATCCAATTGAATAAAATTTGCATATTTTACCCACTCACCTCCATTCTTGAGCATTCCGAGGATCATGAGAAGAAATATTACCAGCACCACCCAATCATGTCTTGCAGCGAACAACAAAACGCACAGTGCGCTGATGATTCTCAGGTGTGTGTCGCTGGAGATCAAATGGTCCACGCGGCTTTCCTCGGCCTTTTTCTGCTCCTCCGCCTCCAAATTTGGCTTTACCTAACAAGGGAAGTCACTTTTTTCGCAGACGGACTTCGGAACGGGACCTAGTAGGTTTCAAACCTGAAGCGTCTACGATCATACAACTGATTTCCAAAAGTGTTTACGGGGCTTCTCGGCAGAGAAAATCGACCGCAAAGTTTAGCTGAAATGAGCGAATAGCCTCCTCAAAAGAAACAGCTTATTTCATCTGCAGTGGTGGCCGAGTGGTCAGCGCGCTCGCTTTTTGCGCCAGAAGAGGCGGGTTCGATCCCTTGCGCAGTTTATTTTCTTTTTTGGTTCGTAAATATTGATTTAGTATGTAAACATTGAATGTATACACTTTTGTAATTTTTTACAGTAATTTAAACATAAATTCAAAGCTGAATGTTCATGAATATTGTAAAGTCAAAACAGGGCTGGGTTGATGAAGATATACTTTCTAAATTTGTGTTTTATTAAAAATTGCTAATAATTAGGATATGTGATGTTAACGGCATCTCTCTATTTGATTCAATTGTCAAAAGAAATGCATCCGCAGACGACCGAAGTCGAACTCACGTCTTCTGGCGCAAAAAGCGAACGCGCTGACCACTCGGCCACCACTGCAGATGAAATAAGCTGTTTCTTTTCAGGAGGCTATTCGCTCATTTCGGCTAAACTTTGTGGTCGATTTTCTAGGCCGAGAAGCCCCGTAAACACTTTTGGAAATCAGTTTTATGATCGCAGACGCTTCACGTTTGAAACCTACTAGGTCCCGTTCCAAAGTCCGTCTGCGAAAAAAGTGACTTCCCTTGTAAGAAAAGTTTTATATAAAAGTTCAATTTTTGAAATTATTTTACCTGCACCCCTTCGGTCTCCAAAATTTCCTCTTTTTCTTTGACGATCTCCTCAGTTTCTGCGGAATTCTCGTTCGCCAACAGAGAGTCATCCAAAGTACCGCCATTTCCGATGTGTCGACCGATCAGGCCAGCTGAAATGAGGCCGAGAGAAAGGGCGGAACAAGCAAAGACCAGGACCCGGAGTGGGCCGCAGAAATCGGCGCAGTAGGCCAAAACGACAATCCTGAAATGTGATCAATGTGTTTTATATCACAACCACAAGTCACTGTATGACTAAAAATATCGAAAGAAAATAATTTCAAAACCCAATCTTCGAAATATTACCAATAAGACAAAAAATCCCGGATATTTCCAAAAAAATTCAAGAAAATGCCCTCAGGGCAAAAAAATTTTAAATTTCGAAAGATTATATTCCACATCATGACATTGGCTATCTTTCAAGACATATAACTCCCCATAATTCATGCCTTTCAACAAAATATACGCTTATCTTACACTTCAAACCATCAAAAATCAAATAAACAGATATTAGTAAAAAACATGCCCTCAGGGTAAGTTGTTTTGACATTTCAAAATTTCCTTATCTCCTTCGACTCATTAGCTTTGTTTTGATACATAAACCACCGTAAACTACTCTTCTAGCGACGAGATATCACACTTCAAAAGCACCCTATACTTACCAGATGGGCAAGGACAAAGTTCTCGCAAATTTCTTCTTCTTATGCAAACTCTCGTAGTCCTGAACAAAAATCCAGGCGGCATACGTGACGGCGTACACGGTGACCAACATTCGGACAGTTCGTTGGTTGAGGAATGCCAGAACTTCATCACAAAGCGAATAGGAGCTCCCAACGGCGCCCAAAATCCAAACAAACGTCCCGCCATAGCTAAGGATCTTGATCGAAACGTACGCTCCGAGATAGTAGTAGCCGTGAGGACTAAAAACGGAAGGGAAAATAAAAACAAAGAAAGAAAACTTACCTAAACGCAGTGTTATAAACCGTATCAGCAGCCCAGTTGAAGGCATTCAGCGGAAGGAGCGCGATTCCAATCAAAAATGGGGTGTTTTGCTCGTCCAAGCGATTCAGCCAGCCTGTAAATAGTTCATTACACCTCGGAAACAAGGATCATACAATAATTTTATCAAAAAACCTTATTTTTTGACACATTTATATTATTCTAGACATTGATCTCAAAAATCTCAAGAAAGACGACTAAATCAAAGTAATAATACCCCAGACTACTCAGACATTCAGCATACACTTCATTATACCTGATAAAGAAAGATCAATCAAAAACCAAACAAAAATTAAATTTTCTGATCAAATTTATATTGTACTAGGTGTTGATATCCAAAAACAGCAAATAAATAGCTGAGCACAGATGGTAATGCGCCAAACTGTCAAAACCTACCCCCAAAAATACTCGAGACACCTCGCTTCAGCGGGAACAGCACAGTTCCCACCAGCACAGCCCACAAAATGGGTGTGAGGAACATGTGCAACATTTGAAACAGTGCGTAGAGTCCGCAAATGCATATTCCCAACTAAAAATAGAACGGAAAATGTCGAAGGAACTTACCAGCACCAAGAACAAGGTGTTGTAGAAGCTCAATTTGACCGGGAGTTGGTCGGAATTGTCGGTTAGACGGTTCCAAAAGCCTTGAGAAGACATGATTCAACTGCTATTCGCCTCTTCGCATCACCTCCGGGCATGAGAACCGTGTGTTTTTCTCGTTCCAAATTAAAAAACCGCCTCGTAAATAAAGCACAAGGCGAGGAATTTTTATGAGGGCCAAAAGCGCGGGAAATTTGAACGGGGATATTTTATACGATGAAACATTTCTGGGAAGCCATAAAAAACGTAAAATACGGCTCACGTCAAGAAAAAATAAAACAAAAGCGCTCAAGCAATGAAAAATTCTTGGCATTCTGTTTGATCTCAAAGACAATTTTTTGCTCCAAAGATAGCCTGATTACACGATGAAGATGGGGTAGAAGGGGTTATTGCATACATAAATTTGAAGCTGGGCTCCTGCTTAACCTGAACATATATATTTCATATAAAAAATCGGTCGTCTTCTATCTGTTTGAAGCCTAAACTAACAACGCCTAAAAAATGTTGCAATTTCGAGGATTTCTTTAAGATTTTCCCTCGCCCCTATTTGAAGTTTCGTGGAAACATAGTCTGGAACAAGTCGGATTTTTTGAGCCTAAAACGAAAAAAATCAAATGAGCCAGTTTCGAGATAGAAAATCTCTTCATTTTGCGCAATATTTCGCCTTTCCTCTGACCTCGTCCAAAAAAACTGTCATTGAGACGGATTTTTTGGACACTTCCGTAAGCGGAAACAGAATGCCAACTTTCGTGTTGAGAGATAACCCTTTGAGCGCAAAATCTTGACGTGCGGCTGTAGAAAGGTGAAATTTATGCAAATTTTTATGAATAAATTGATAAATCTAGTTTTCTATCACTATTTTGCCAAATCGGTCCAAAAAATTATGAAAGCGACATCTTATACGATGAAAAATTTCTGGAAAATTTTAAATCCATGGAGAGAATGTAAAAATCTGCCAATAGCATGTGGACTAGTAGGCTAGTTGTAGGAAGTGCCTCCGAGGCTTGGCAAAGCCGCTGGATTGTCGGCGGAAGCTCGGCAAAGGCTCGGCGGAAACTTGACGAAGACTTGCAATATGCTCCCTTTTCTAATTTCAGCTATTGATAAGTTTTTTTTACCCTGAGTCATTGAAACATATAAAAGCCCAAAATTTGCGGCAAGAAACGAAGATCCGTAACTTTTATCTAGACGTTATTGATGTGAGTACATGGAAAATACCTCAAACTAGGCGATAAACTACCCTAGGCCCAATCAATCTTATTATTTTTAATAACTAAAGCTTCTCCTAGCGTCCCCATGCATACAACAAAGAACCGAGGCGATCCATAGTGTCGTTGACTGACCCAAGATGTCGTAGCGCTTCTGACCGTTACCGACCTTCCAGCGGATTTCACAGCTGATCAACACTGTGGGCAGACATGGCTACCGGACCGGGCCTTGGACACTCCGAGGTGTCAACATTGCTGCCGGACCGGGTCTTGGACACTGCGGATCGGCCCGTTATCGAAATTATTTACCAAAGCCCAGAAGCCATGTCTGGATTTGGAGTTTGGTCTGGGCCGGCTCATAAAAAAATCACCAAAGCCCCAATTTGGAAAATTGAGTTTTTTTTTGCATTGAAATTACAAATCTCGACGTTATTACTTATGTTAGGTTTTGCTTTTAGCTTAGTAGTTCTTGTATCACACCACCTTGTTAAAGGGCCTGTACAGCTACTTTGAAAAGCGATTTTCTCGGCTTGGAGACGGCGCTTAAAAATGATGTCAAACTGCCGTGCCCTGGGTCTTATCGGGCGGGGCTTTAAGAATTTAGAAAACGGGCCGGACCCACTTTTGGTCACGCCGGGCTTCCAGGCGGCCCGGGCTGGCCGTCTGTCCGTCGGACTCACAAGACACCACGCTCAAATTTCAGGTCATTTCAAGTTCACCTGACCCTCATTTGTTTCGCCCGAAATAAACGTTTTGATCAATGGACATTTGACTTGTGGCAGTCGTTTTTTGGATCACTGCTCTTTTCAATTCAAAGCGATACGAAATTTGATCTCTCACAGATCGCTCGACCATTCTGGAATCATTCCGCTTTTGCTCTTTTTGTGTGTTGTTGCCCGGCGATAAACGTGTTTTGACCTCCCACACTGTTCGACGTTTTTTCCGTATCTTTGTTGCAACCTTGACTTTTATAAATAATGCATACTTGTATAGAAGATGGTTGAAATCCGAACGGATGTTTTCGAATAGGGGGCGGATGGGGTGCATGTGGACAACATGTGGCCTTAAAATTCTTGGTTTTTGCAAGTCCAATGAACCGATATTTTCGTACATATATGGCTCGGGACTTATAATCATTGTGGGTCCAGAGAATATGTCACGATGACACCAATTTAAAATGTGGCAGTAGTATAAAAAAACCGCTGTAAAATGCTAGAAGCACTTCCTAGAGCGTGTAGAAAAATTTTGGGCACTGTAAAGGTTCTTGAAGCTGAAAAAATTCAAAAGAATCCAGAAAATCCGTCCTCCAGCTTGCGATTTGCAAAAGTTTTGGACCTAAATTTATTTTGAGCACCTAGGGAGTACTGGCAGCCATTTACAGTCGTTGTTTACACCAGTGGCGCACTTTAAACGGTTGTCATCGTGACACATTTTCTGGACGCACAAAAATTTGTCATCACACCTTTAAAATGGGCCAGTGGTATAAACAACGGTTGTATATGGCTACGAGTACTCCGTAGAGCACACACAAGAAAATTTGTACTCGAAGCTTTCGTAATGCGCAATTTGAATGACGTATTTTCTGGACTTTTCTGCATTTTTTCCGCCAATGTCCAAAAATTTTTTACTTGCTCCAGGTGGTCCTCCTACCCATATACAGCCATCGTTTATACCATTGGCACATTCTTAGCCGGGGTCATCGTGACACATTTTCTGGACACACACAGATTCTTTTAAATTTTTTCAGCTGCGAGAACCTTTACAGTGCCCAAGATTTTTTTTACACGCTCTAGGAAGAACTTCTAGTATTATACAGCCGTTGTTTATACCACTGGCACATTTTAAATCGGTGTCATCGTGACACATTTTCTGGACACGTATAAGTCCCCGGCCATATACGCACGAAAATATTGGTTTATTGGACTTGAAAAAAACAATAAATTTTAAGGACACAGATTGTCCACATGCACTCCATCCGCCCCCTATTCGAAAACATCCGTTCGAATTTCAACCCTTTTTCACGCTCTCTCAGTTTTAAAAATCTTTTTTTGGCCCCATTCCTTGGCCTTTAGATGTGGAAAGAGGTGATTATGGCTAGAGTAAACAATGATTTCAAGGTTCCGCACCTCTTTACGATCCATATGACCTTTCCACACCTCATTTTTGAAGGTTTTGAGGACAAAGGATGATTTTTATTGGGGCTAAGGACGTTGCCGATCGTGCTGGGCCATAAATTTCGTTTTCTTTGCTCTAAAAATTGTTCTTATCATAGTGGAACCTCTGTACAACGAATTGGGAGGGAAAAAAAATTTCTTTATAGAAGGGTTTCGTTATACGGAGGTTTATTTTAGACTAAAACTGACTCTTGGAACTTTTGAATTTGTTGGTTATACACAGTTGCTGTAGTACGGGGGTCGCTATACGATGTATTTTTATCTCTTTTATGCGATTATAAGTCTGTCGGGAAAATAATGTGGACTCGCGCCCTGAATTTTTCTGCGACATATTCACATTATTTTCCCGACAGACTCATATTGATGTGCACATGCCCAAAAACGATATGTCATGCCAATACCGCCGTTTTATTCCCGTACTATGCGCAAAAATGGGCGTCATCACGCATAGTCAGAGCCTACGAGAGTCTTTTGTCCTTTTTGGACTCCAAACACCAGTGGCTGTAGTTTTATTTGGCTTTAGAATGCGCCAGAATGTGCACTATTTTCCCGACAGGCGGAAATAACGAATAAATTTTTTTGTAATATCCCAGTGTGTCGGGAAAATAACGAGCAATCTGCCGCATCAAAAATCTGATCGGCGTCGAGAAAATGAATCGTCTTCGCGGCAAAATCAAATTGCTTTTCACTTCAACGACGCGATTGGAGAAGCGACTATGCGCTCATTATTTTCCCGACAGACTCAAATACCGACCTTTCCTCAGAGCGCTTTTTCCATCCGCAGAAAATGTCGGGTTGAACAAAGGGTCTGTTGGCAATGAGAATTGCCACGTCAGACCCTCTTTTTCTCGAAAAAGCGAAGAAAAGAGAGTCTTTTTGAGGCCCAGACAAAAGACGTTTTTTGGCCAGAACGGCCGTAAAATGTTCTCTTACGCCTAATATTTTCCATGTACATTTACAATTTGTGGTAACAAGATGTTTTCGTCACGTTTTCCTCATAAATCTGTTGTTGTTTTTCCGGAAAAACGAGAAAAAACAAGATTTCTAGGCCAAAATGTGTTTGTATTTTTGGATTTTTTTTTCAATTTTCCTCTACATTCCGATAGAATTTAGCGATTTTTCGAAGAAAAGTGTAAAATTCCGAGGCTTCTTGTAAGCCTCGGCTACATTCTCCTCATGTTTCAAGCAAAGGATTACACTTTGAGCCCCTGCGAAAGCGGGGCGTTATGTATAATCGAATAAATGCGGTTGGCTCAAAAAATGAGCCAGGCTCAAAGTTTCGCCGCACAGCAGCTGATGACACTCGATTCGGATGATTCAATGGGGGCTTTCGTGGGGGTGACGAGGGTCTTATGGTTGAGGGCATATATAAACCGGTGGTCTGGACGGCGGATTTCGGGATTTTTTTGAGCGATGTAATTCCCTCCCAAATCTTTGCATTTTTGGCAATTTTGCTTCACAAAATCAACTTTTCTTCTTTTTTCGCTACTCTCAGTCTGGCGGGAAAATAATGAGCACTTCGCGGCAAAATGAAATTGCTTTTCATTTCAGCAACGCGATTGACCAACGACAGAGTGCTCATTATTTTCCCGACAGACTGATATTACGTTTTTTCGAAAGTGCGCAGACTTTTTTCGGCTAAAAAAAGGTAGACTGCACAGTGCGGAAAGCCTGC